ACGACGTACTCAAGCCCTATTTGAAAAATTCAGCCCACTCTGAGTCAGTATATATATATATATATATATATATATATATATATATATATATATAGTATAGTGTGAATGTGTGGGTTTGTTATATCGGAAAAGATCATTCTGAGGATCCCTCTTACCTGCTCTCACTACGTTGTATATTATTCCCGGGTCCTAATATTTAGGCCCTTTCCCTTTCACCTAGCTGCGAAGTTTGAGAGAGAACGAACGGGCGAGAGAGTTTCCCTGCTTTCAGTGCTTTATCCAATTCATGACACTTATCCTGTCTCTTAAAACGCTGTTCTCTCTCCCCTCTGTTCTCTGCTGTTTCCTGTTTTCGACCGACTCGTTAAATCTTTGCGTTGTGACTCACCTATATTTTTCCCGGTACTAGAATTTTTTACCACGTGAATCGTTTATCCATCAGAAAATGTTACTAGTCCAATGCGTCTAAGTCTGTTATTTCGCGTGATTTATTTGCATTTTAAGAAAAAAACACACTAGAAGGGGTAACGAACGGAATAACAGATCTAAGTATATATATATATACATATGGATATGTATATCAAAACTAAATAAATGAAATAAAAAAAAATTAAAAAAAAATAAGTTCCCACAACCTCATATACACTTAATAAGTGCCTCTCCTATTTTGCTTTGGGAGGAACGGATGAAATTAATTTTACTATAAATTTTCTTACGTGCTCGTAGATATGCACGCCAATAAGCATAAAATTTTGGCAACCATTTCCCTTCAGCGCTCGCCGCTTGTTTCCTTGATCCTGGGATTATCTGCGGTTGGTATCCTGGTCCTGTTGGCTTCCAAGCTCTTGTCACCGTTGCTTGTCAAATATGACTGGAACTGTCTTTGATCGACTCCTCGGCTTCCCGATTTTCAATCGTCGTATTCTCGCGGCACTGCACTATGTGTGCTTCTCGGCGGAATTTTTTTTTCAAACGAGTGCAACAAAAGAAAAAGAAATTCCAACTCTTATCAGACCCCACACTTAGCACCAAAACTGTTACGTAGGAAAGATAATGGTAAGGAGGTGCGTCGCGAGAATGACCAACATTTGTTATTTCGAAGACCTTTATTCAAGTTACCGTAATCATGGGCAAAGTAGCGCGTGTGTTTCCCTCAAAGGCTAGTCGTGCACTCCTGCGGAAGACTCTCTCCTTACTTGCTCTTTCCCTCTCTTGGCCCTAGGGCCCCTTGTTACGAGATTTAAGGAGAGAGAGCGTAGAGTCCCATCCATACTATCGTGCGTGACAGACGTATCAAGGAGTAATAACGAGTCATCAAACCGTTCCAAAAGTATGGGTAATGAAACGTAGAGATAAAAGTAAAGGTAGAAGTAATTTTATATTGTGTGTTTGGTGCAATACGCATACGATTTGTTGAGATCTTTCAAATAGTCTGATTTTTCTACCAGTTTAGTTATTTACATACCCAAGCAAGTTTAATTTAAGACTGGTATTGAAGCATTGACAACGCTGTAGTGGGTGGAGCCTAAGCAGAGTATTAAAAAAGAATTGCATTTGAACGTTGTGTCCTAGATCCTCGGCAGGACGATTCAGTGTGATTGTGCGAACGATCTTAGCCACAGATGCCCATCACGCGTTGCAAAAGATGAAAATTAACGCACTTACGTGCTAAAAGCAGCTGTTTGAAATAAGTGGAAGTAATTTTTTAAGGAGAAACAAGTAGGATATCGAAGATTATAGGAGTAGAATTAATAGAAGTAATTTTGTTGACGATATGAGTCTAATTGTAGTAGTGTGAGTAGTGACGGAGTAGAGGAACTTTGAGTTTCTCAATTTTCCTACCTTTACAATTCTATCAATCACACTAACATTTTTATGGCGACTCTGGCTTATGAAAAGCTCCACAACATCGTTCGTTGACGGACGCAATAGATCGCCGATAGTTAAAAGTTTTTTAAGATTAGGATCGTCTCAACAATCCGATAATTTTGGGAACTCTTTATGAAATTCAATTTCCCGTCCATTTTTCAAAAAAAATTCTCTTTCATAATTATCTTGTCACTCTGCACAATAAAATAAAACACAGTCAACTGTAACATTTGCCATTTGTTCTATAGTATTTGAAAGACATTACCCGTTTTGGCATCCAACGAAACAGATGATCAACTCGTATACTTTTATTACTTTCGATAAGTTCCTTATTTGGATCTTGGAAGATGCAAGTTCCGCATAGCTGAGTTGGTTAATGATTTTATTGGCATAAAACTGTTGATTTAACTCGGTCTCTTCGGGACTTACATGTTAAGATTTTTTTTTTCTTTAAAGTTTATCTTTATGTTTCCATATTTGTTACTATTTCCAATATTGGTAAGTATAAAATATTTTTTAAAATAAACTTTTGGATGAGACATCCCTTAAACAAATCAACAGTGTTAGTTAGACTGCTTTATTTTGCAATAACTTTCTTCCAAGCCGTACAGTTAAAAAATAATTGATTATTTTTTATCATCACTGATACTAGCCAGAACAATTTGGCAACTGAAAAGTGATGGTTGTTAACTTTTACATTTTAAATACTGTAAGGCGTTATAATATGCATCCATATCCTGCGATGATAAGTTTAGAGATAAAGTCTTGATGATCCATTCTTACAACAAACATGCTCTATGCAGCACACGAAATAACTGTTCGTTTTCGAAATTTTTTTGTAATAAGGTAATATTTTCAATCATTTATTGCAATATCGCCTTTAAATCACTTAATTACATGATATTATAGCATGCAGTGATTATAATATTTTTTACGTCCTAAAGTAACTCTTTAAACGGTTGGGGTAGTTCAATTAACCAACGACCGATTTCATTTTCTTGTATCGATACCACTGCAACTTCTTTTGGTATAAAATTCCTGTCAGAGTCGTAAAAACTTCAGATATCTATGACAAAATCCATGATAATGAACAACTTTACTCTTTTGTAACATTTATTTTCGGGACAAGATTTTCACTTACTAGAGAACTTATCTGTTGTAAATTTATTTGCCAGCAAAAATAGCTTTTTTTCCTCCTCATCCTCCCTCTTAAGGAGAGAGGTTTTCTTTTGTAATACCTTTCCCGTTCTTGCTACTTGCCGACATCATGAAACACTAAGTAACAAGCAGGTTGCAAAATGCATTATTAATATTTTTTTGCCGAATTCAGTGACGTCTTCCTTTATATTTTTAAGAAAATCATCAATAATATGGATTAAAAATTAACTAATTAGAAATTAACTAATTAAGTTAAAATAATTTGTACGCAAAACTTTTTTTTTAACAATTTTTTTAGTCCCTGCTTCTTTCCTTTATCTTAACATGATTCCAAAAGTGGTGTATCTGCATCCTGGGTACTCATCCCATCAAAAAAGCCCAAGAAAAAAATCTCGATGATTCTCGACGGGATTCAAACCCACACTTCTCAAGTATCTCCGGCTAGAAGGCTAGCACGCTAATTTGGGCTTATAAAAGTTAAAAAATTGGATATTTTATTAAAAGAAGATGTTTTAGCGGTTCTTAAACAACCATGGACAGTTTTTCATGCGATTACTGGTTGAAAAAAAAAGAGTTAAGTGCACTTGTAAAATTGAGTCATTCTTTTCAGTTGTAATTAGTAAATGGGCTACTTCAGCAGTGCTAATGTTAAAAAGAAATAAACATGTCATATTAAATAAAGATTTTAAAAGTACTACACATGTGTTTGATAAGTAAAGGGAGTATAATGCAGTCAAAAATTTTTTTCTACTACAACTTGTGACAGGCCTTTGCGTTATCATCCACTTACTAGGAAGAAGTACTACAATCGATCTCCGTTTTTTTTTACTTTCCTCCCCTCCTCTGCTAAGATTACTTAAGTCCACTTACATACGTGTATATTTTTTGTCTTACTACAGTATAAGTTGATTGGCAAAATCGGAAATAAACTGTATGAAGATAAAGAGGAAAGTAAGTGTAGGAGAAAGCTCGTAATGATGCGCCAAAACTGAGGTAGGATCAGATAGTTAGAAATGATGTACTGTTAGGACCATGATAGCTTAGTAGCATAGGCTATGGCGTTTTTTTACTATGCGTCGTAAAAAATTATTTTTCATTTAAGGAAGTTTCGTAGTTCCCCCGTTAATTTATTAAGTAAACAGATTTAGCTGGAGTCTGAGAAGAGTACCTTTCAAGTATTTGTCTTTTGATTTCTATAAAAAAATCGAGAAGTCAACGTTACAAATTTTCAGCAATCGTTGTTTAAAAATCTGCTTTTAACGTGCGAAAATATAGGATGGGCACAACCTAGGTACAAATTTAGCAGTCACGCTGAAAAAACCAAAAGGATCTTTAAGAAAAACCATTTTTTGTTAACGGCATGCAGATTTTACCAAGAAAATTTTCATGAGACCTAAATCCATGAGCGATAAACGTGAAATACTAAGAGAATTGTAGAAAAGTGAAATTAGGTTTTAGATGAGACCAAAAATGACCATGATAGCTTTGTCGATGTTCGCATAATTGGCAGACACACTAACGTTGCATTTAAAGTAAGCAAAGATTTAAATGATGTCTACCTTCAAGTAGAATGCTAAGTATGAATGTCTAAATGAATTTGCGTATGTGTCAGAATCTAACACAGTTGTGTATAAGAATAATATTAAAACATAAAATAAATACAGAATGTTGTAGTATTTTTCATTTTTATACAACATAAAATGACATAGGTCCCCAATGCTTTTCAAAGAAATTTGTATTCACATTTATTTAGTCATTAACATTACATCAAATCATGCTTTTATAATTTTTTTATTACTAGTCACACAACTGTATCCTTGATACTTTCACATCACAAAATAGTTAAGCCCTGTAAAACATCACTATTGTAGGCTTTTTCCAAAATCTTTACATCAACCCAAGTTGGCAATCCTACTTTTTATATTATCTAATCAAGTCAAACTATTGAAACTACTTTACCTTAATTTGGTATCTTCTGTAGTTCTTCTTCCATTAAATATACTGTCACAGCTACGTGTGGAAGTGATGATACTACCCACGTTCAATTGCTTACATGCTTGAAAGGTAACAATTTGTGTTATTAAAAAGTATAGTTGTATTTGATTAGTATACGAATGAGCAACAGTTTTTGTAGCATGATATTTTTAATTAGTTAGTAAAAGAAACAAATTTTTTTTTAAACATATAAACTAACGTTATGTATTTTCCAAAACCTAGGTTCAGTTAACCACACATGCTTATGTGCTCACAATTACTTGAATTCTAGACTTAATTAATATGTTAATTCTAAACACGTGGACTTGAAAGATAATTGACTAGTGCTGTTTGATTAAAATTTATTGGAACGAAATTCTTAACGCCTGGTTTAGCGCGGGGATTCATACAAGATAAAATGTAACGTGACAACAAAGCGTTACGATAAATGGTACATCAAGATAGATTGTAAATAATAACTTTTACAGGTTTCCTGCAGGGAAATTAATTCATCAAGGTGCATAAAAAGAGAGGTTTTGGTTGACTATATAACAGTGAAAGGAGGGGTGGGTAGAGAGAAGAAGAGCCGAGCACGTTAATGATTAATCATGACAATGCTACATACGACAGTGACTTCGTTTCAAGCGCATGGCCTGTGACACGTTCTACTGGTTTTTTTGAACGAAGTTCCTTTTCTCGCGTTATCAGTTTTAAGAGAATGGGGAATAGACTAAAAAAAGTGTCACAAGACTTTTTTCCGACCCTGCTATAGTAACACAGCCGTGTATAGAGCTATGTACATTGCCACACGCAGCTCTCTCTCTCTCTTCCTGAGCACGCACCGTAGGACTTGACGGCTCTCTTTTGTTTGTCTTTCTTCGGTCATACTCGGCTACTAGCTCCTCCCCGCAGTCCCTTTGCCGCGTGTCAACAGCGTATACCTAGACATTTACAGCAGCCACTGTAAGCGTAAACGTATTGCTTGACTCAACAAATAACGTAGTAGTCTCTCCCCACTCTCCGTATCCCACGCTATTGTACAGATTGCACTGGCTATAAAAGTATCTGTTTAGTCCATTGCCTGAAAACAAAAAGTACGATTTATTTTTATGTTCTTCAGTAAACAAAAAATTGGTTATTTTCCCTACAGAATTTCTCTAGAAATATGGGACAAATAGTTTTGTCTAAATGAGAAGTTGACTTTATTTATTTGTTTGAAAATATATGGTAATTGTTAACTTTTATTTAGTTTATTATTTTTATGTCCGCTTCTATAGCTTGTAAAGAAATTTTACGACCATGAATCGTTTTGTTATGACATTTTCTACAAAATAAGCACTTTAAACAGTTTGTTATTAATTGTTTATAACACACTCATGGTAACAAAGTTCGAAAAATAATTTTTTGATACTAAAAAACTTTCGATCAGTGTAGAAAAAAACTACCATGTCAATCTGAAAGTAAGCGTGAGTAAACATAGATATAACATTACATAATAAAAAGCTATTTGTAAAATTATAAAAAAATTATTAGTTTTTTGTTAACTAATTTTTTGAAGTGAAACTTTGAAGTGTTATTACAAACTTAAGTGCCAGTATACAAAAGTAATTGAGTTTTTGTGTTGACACAGTCACAATTCATGTTTTTATTTTTTTCTGATCCCGTAGGACGTGTGCTAAAACTAAACTAAACTAAAATTTGGTTGAGTGACTTTTCAAAATGTGTTGTTTTTTTACCAAAAGAAATGTTGCTGTAAGCTTTCATCATTTATTTTATATATGATAAAAATGTATTATTATAAATTGTTTACATTATTAACTTAATATTTTATCCTATAAATTATTACTGTATATAGCCAACGTCTACAAAAAAGCAAATGGAACTTCATTTCTACCAGGGGTCCATAGACCTCTCACGGCTGGTTTTTTTTTTTTTATGAGTTAGATCTGCCATAAACTAAAATGATGTATTGTATAATCTTTGAGAACAACTTAAACAATTGCTCAGTAAGTCTAAGGTAATTACTAGTTTTACAATCTTAAGTTCGTCGAACCTACATCATAAGTAGGAAACATTGTGAATATAGCTTATGTTGTTGTAGTATATATAAACTAAAAGAATTACGTTACGTTAAGATTCTGAAAAATAAAAAGATAAAGTAATTATTCTATACGAGGTGTGATCAAAAAGTAAGGTGACTTTTCATTTTTATAAAAAAATATTTATTTATTCATCTAAAACTATGTTATCCCCTTTAAAATAATTCCCCTCAGATACAATGCACTTGTGCCAACGCTTTTTCCAGTACTATTTTGGATATTGCTTTGAGCTCCTCCATCGATGTAGCCTTAATCTCCTCAATCGTGGCAAATCTTCGTCCTTTCATGGGCTTTTTCAATTTTGGGAAGAGGAAAAAGTCGCTGGGGGCCAAGTCTGGTGAATATGGTGACTGAGGCATGATAGAAGTACTGTTTTTGGCCAAAAAACTACTAACTA